TAATATTACCGATGTAATATCGGCCGAAAAGACATGCTGTCTTGGCACGGACTGCCCTGCGGCTGATGTGGGGCCACTAGTGCCAGCGTATGGTAATAATGGGCTGAAGAAGGGTTATTGGAGACTCTTAGAGCCCCACCAGGATTCAGTATAGGGTCATCAGAGGCCGGGAACGTCCATCAGGGGTCTGAGTAGGCCTGCCATAGGGGCATACATGACACATCATGGAACATGGGTCAATCTAGATCCATTAGGGGTCGTTGAAGGGCCATCATTTTTCAGCGTGGGCCCGCAATTACCTCTGATGGGCATGCCGTGCCCCGATGGACTAACGTTGGCCTCCGATAAACCATCACCAGCCCCTGATAGGTCTACAAAGCCCCCTGCTGGGTCTAAATTGGTCACTGATATGCCCAAATGGGTCACTGAGAAACCCGTACAACATCCCCTGACTGCACCTGATGGACCAATGCCGTCCCCTCATGGGCCCACCACGGCTCTTGAATGGCCTCTTCAAGTCCCTGAAGCACCTTTATTGGCCTAAATGGACCCCTGATTGGCTTATGTGGTCCCTAATGGTCCCATATGGCCCCCATGAGCCCTCAATTCGTCCCGAGACAGCCTTACATTATATGCCACCGACCCCTGGTAGGCCTGCACTGGACCCACTGGGCCTATACCGACCCATAAAGGGCCCATGTCGAGCCCTCATGGGCCTCCGATGACCACACGCCGGCATGTGTGGCCCCATCAGCAGTGGTCCGTCTATCCCATGTACTTACGGTCTTTTTGGCCGATGTGACACCGATAGTATATAGAAATGTCATGATTAAATGTCGTTATTATATAGTCAAAGGTCACGGAAAGAATATCCAAGCTCAAAAATGGCCTCAAAACCAACAAAAACTGATACAAATCCCCTTCAAAAGTCATAAGTCAATGAAACGCCATAGGGGAGTAGCTGTAGTCCCCCACAATTTCGTCACGAGCATCGGGCCAATCAGCGTTGAGTATTTCCGAACGCCGATTGGTCGATTTCCGCTAGCTTGTAAATGCTGCTTGCGCATATAGTCTTGAACAAGTGAGGGTCGCGGCAACTAAATATTGCTTGTCACCACTTTTTCTTCGGGAGCGTTCTACCTGGTTTATATAGCCTTGGTTTCAGTGTTGGCACAATGTTGATGTGGTGATTGACTATTCCACCCAGTGCTGCCAGATTTGGAGGATTTCCGCAAATCTGGAGGATTTTGAACTCTATTTGCGGACAAATTTCGCTTTTGGAGGATTTTTGATTCTGGAGGAAAATCTGGAGGATTTGTCGCCCGATTATTATATTCAATTTCATGGAAAAATATAACACATTCAAGACTAAAAAGGCATTTTCCTACCCAGCGCCACCCTACCCGTTAGGATATATCACGTCCTTTATTACCGTGAGACTGCAGAATGTCTCAGTCTGTAGCTATATCTACGAGGGTACCAAACTACTGGCGGATCTAATTAGGGGGACATTTGGGGCAAATGCCCCCGGTACCCCTGTAGCGCCCGAAATCGACGAAAATTTTCGTTTTTTTTAAAAGATAAAACGAAAACTAAACAACTTTTATAAGAAAAAGTATCTTTTAAAGAGCACAGCAGTGCGAAAGGATTCGAAATCCCACGAGTTTTTAGAATTTGGTGAAACTTTTTTGGGGGTATAGCTCCCCGCAGCGTCCAAGACCGCCTTTCTATATCTACCAATAGGATTTGGAGGAATCTGGAGGATTTTTGTAACTGATCTGGAGGATTACAGCCTTCCCCATCTGGCAGCACTCACCTGTTCAACTCACCTGTTGGGGGTTCCCTGCCTTCCAGAGTACAGCATAGAGGATGTGCATAGGATACGTGAGGAAGGAACCCGCGAACGTAGGGCTCGCCCGGCGGAGACACCACAAGGGGGTGCTGCCAAGCCGGGAACAAGAGCCTGCATAATGACAAACACGAATTTTGCTATAGTTTCATGATACATACAATAAAAGATCGTATACAATAATGCAAACACAAATTAGGGGAAACAGGTCAACGCAATAGCCATCACATATGATAAGAGAACAAGGCATCACCCATCGAGTCAGCCAACATGGCCTTGAACCTGCTCAGGTCGGATTCACCTACGACCTGGTCAGGGAGTGCGTTCCAAGCGGTGATACAACGCTTGCTGAAGGACCTGGTCCTGACATCAGTTTGTGCTCGAGTGTGGCGGATTTTGAACATGTGGCCTCTGGTACTAGACGAGGGATCAAGTTCGAACATGGTAGTGGCATCTATACAACACTTTGCGTGGAAAATCTTCCAATATTGAATCAGATCGGCACGTAGAAGTCTGCCCTGGACCGAGTACTGGTTCAGAGCCCTAAGCCGGGATTTATAATCAAGCTCTCCCATGCCTAAGATCTTTTTAGTCCAACGGCGTTGAACAGATTCGAGGAGGCGCACGTCCCCTATATACGCAGTGTGCCATACACATGAGCAGTATTCCATGATGGGTCTTACATGAGTGTTGAATAAAGTGAGCATGAAATCAGGGGATCTGCAGACAGTTGACCTTAACAAGTTTTGGGTAAGGCCAGCAGCCTTTTGCACTGTCAAAGCCACATGCTGGTGAAACTTTAGGTCAGAATCAATAAGAACCCCGAGATCAGTGTGGGATTTCACGACCTGAATCGATGTTTGGTCTAAGTGATAGGACGGGGGAGGTAGGACATGGGACCTTCTTTGAAAGCGGATGACCACACATTTTTTCAGATTTAAGTAGAGACACCAGGACTCTGCCGTGCGTTGTAGCATCGTTATGTCCTTCTGACAAGCCTGTGAATCACGACAGTAGTTAGCTGGACTGTCGTGGCGTATTGTCATGTAGATCTTCAGGTCATCTGCAAATATTTTATACTGACAGAGGAGGTTACTTGCGACATGGTTGACGAAAATAAGAAAAAGAATTGGTCCGAGGACAGAACCCTGGGGTACGCCACTCGAGACGTTGCGCTGGCTGCTTGTCTTTCCCTTTACCTGGACTGACATGCGGCGACCAACAAGAAAGTCCTCGATCCAGCGGATGAGGGGGGTATTGATCCCTAGCAAATGTAACTTGGTGAGCAGAATAGGGTGAGATACTACGTCGAAGGCCTTGGAGAAGTCAAACATGATGACGTCAACGGTGTCGCCCCTGTCAAGGTGTCTGGAAACGTCATCGTAAACCAGCAGTAGTTGGTCCATGGTTGAGCGACCTGCACGAAACCCGAATTGGTGGTCAGACAAGATATTGTTGCTCTCGAGGTAGTCTGTCAGGTGGCGGGCGATTATTCGCTCTAGACACTTGCATGTTACTGAGGTCAGGCTAATAGGGCGATAATTAAGGGCTTGGTACCTTGAGCCTTTTTTGAAGCACTGATTCCACCGGCCACCATTCTCTCAGATGCTCTCGGCCGGCGAATCCAGCGTAAGGTAAGCGATTTTGCAAATTCGCAAATAAATGGAAAATCAAGTGCAAGTGTCCTGAAAAGTAATCGACGACGTAAAAGTGAGTGTTGTGAATGCTGTGGGATAGTTTTTTCCAAGATTGGTTGGTGGAATTACTTATAAATTGATTGGTAAGACTGCGCTGTTCCGCCGGCGGCCATGGCGAGCGACGCGCTGGGGGGGATGAGAGAGGGATTTCAATATTTTTGTGCGATTAGGAGCTGAAGGGTGGTTTATAATTATCGTTTTATTATTTAATCAAGTTTAAAGTGACCCATTGGGCGTATGCTACACCGGAAAACAATTTATTTGCTCATATAACTGGCGGCATTGTGTGGTGGTAGCGAAGCAAAAAAGCATATTGCAAAAAGGCGACGTCCAGTGACCGTCCGGTGACGTCACGTAACGTTGTGCAGCCGCCGGCAGCCAATCAGGTGCTGGATTTTCTTCTTCCAGTGACGTCATCTATTCTATAGAATGTATATACAATTTGATAGGCAATGATTAGCTGGGTGTTTTTACAATACAATGAAAGCAATTTGGCCTCATTTTGTCAAGTTCATTTAGGTAATAACATTGTCTTCGAATGGGACAAACGATATCCAGATTTATTGCTGATCAATGTTGAATGCACCTTTTCTGGAATACATCAAGCTTTCTGAATTGATTTCAAATTGAAATGGCTGGCAGAACACTGGTGAGCTCGGGTTTTTCACAAAGCGTCAGATTTGATGTGGTTAGGGCAGTGTGAATAGTTGTGTGTTCAAAAGTTGTAATGGTCCATCGTGACCTAATTGACCTGCCCCAACCTAATGTGACCAGTTTGACCTGCATTTACCTATCGTGACCTTAGGTGACCTGTGACCTGGCCTGATCCATCGTGACCCGTGACCTGGGGTGACCTATTGTGACCTAAGCGACCCCTGTGACCTTGCATGATCCGAGTTGACCGGAGACCTGACCTGACCCATCGTGACCTGGCATGACCTATGGTGACCTGACCTGACCTATCGTGACCTGGGGTGACCTGTTGTGACCTAAGCAGCCCCTGTGACCTGGCATGACCTATCGTGAACTGACCTGACCTATCGTGACCTGGGGTGACCTATCGTGACATGACCTGACCTATCGTGACCTGGGGTGACCTTTCGTGACCTATCGTGACCTATCGAGACCTGGGGTGACCTATCGTTACCTAAGCTATTCCTGTGACCTGGCATGACCTATCGTGACCTGACCTGACCTGACCCAAAGTGACCTTATTTGACCCATGTGAACTCAAATAAACTCATTTTGACCACTAAAACACCATTTAGCGTATATCTAGACTTCTAGAAGTCACTCTAACGTGAAACCTTCACTATTCGAACTGGCCAATTATGCGCAAACCATATCATACCTATGCGTAGCGATAGCAAGCAAAGTCCGACGTTTTCCTCTAAGCGTCACGTGACCTTTGACGCTCCTTAGAGGGCCGCTGGTGCAAAATTTCGCTTGAATGGTCAATGATCAGCTTATTGGACATGACTATGAGCGTATCTATTGGAAATAATGTAATTCAAATGCATCCGGAATTTCTCCCATTGACTTATAATGAGAGTATCAGGATCCTAAGTCAACAACTGGTGGGGTTGCAAAGTTTAAAATTTGCCTTTTGTCATAGTCACTTGACCTCCCGGCTCTAGAAAGTGGTTTGTGGCCCGCCAGCCTATAATGGCCCGCCGACTGCTTATTACGTAAAACTGAGGTTATCATATTCCATTATCTATCTGTTCCGACAAATAGCAAAAGCAAATGACAATATCCCCACGGTCGGCGGAACGTGACGTGTTTTCGGGACGCTGAGCCTCTTGGTGGCCTGCGAGACTCGAAGTGGCCCGCCAGTCTCGCTTGCGACTTTTGCGGTTTCTACAGCCGGGCTTGACCTGACTTGGTGACCTGACTTCTGGTGATATCGTGTTTATTTCCGCACAAAATGTGCAAAATTGATGTCGGAACAGGTATGTCAAATTTTTGGGGCGCGCGGTGGCACATAGGTACATACCCCCTCCCCCGGCAGTGCGAGGGTTAACTTCTAAATAAATTGATCTAGGGTCACCAAATAGGAACGCCAAAGCGTGCTTCCATACGCCATTTGCGGCTACGTAATTTTCGTCTGTTTTGTGGTACAATTATGTGTGTTGCTTGGCAGCTGAAGGAGGCAATGGACAAGACCTTCGCCGACCGCCGTCAGCTGGTAATCAAAAGAAAAATCGGACTGGCGGCTCTCAAACGCGTCTATCCCGCCCTCTTCAATGAAGTGGAGGTTAGTTCACGAAACGAATCTACAGAATCTGGAGACCGTTCTTCTCGGAAGCAAACGTTTTTCTTTTTAAGCGACTAATTGTTATACTTTGATTTTTTTTTCAAGCCTGACTATTATATCCTGCTCTTGAGGTTCCAGCAAAGGTTTATTCACCATTGCACTTGTAGTCGCCGTGCCCTAAACCCTAATCATTATCATTTATTTACCATTGCAAAAAAATCGTAATTTACTCGGGGTTAAATAATCAGACTAAGTTGGGCCATCGTTCATATCAATACATTGTTAGATTAACCCTCGCATGTGTAGGGGGGGGGGGGTCGGATGGACCCCCCCCCATGGTTTTTCGCGAATAACTCGCGTAAAAAGCGGCCGATCGCGACGAAACTTTCAGTACCCTCGAATTGATCAATTTTACACCTACCCTGAAAATTTCATGACCCTGACCCAAATGACCTTTGACCTGTGACCTCTTTTCCGAGACCATGTTTGGCCGGAATCGCGATTTCGCGTATGTCGGCTCGCACTAGCCGCGTGTTTGCAAGCTTTTCGTGGTTTCAAACGTTCAAACATGTGATTTGATGTTACTCCCGTGTGTGTCAAGGTCACCTGAAGGTCAGGTCAGGTCATTGACCTTTGGTGACCTTGGGTGACCTCGGGTCACTTTTTCGAGTTTTACATGTTTCTAGGCTAGTTTTTGGAGCTGAATTCGAATTTAGCAACCATTTGAACATTTACGAAGTAGTTTTGGTGACTTCGTAACATGTTACGAAGCTGTCAGAGGCGGTTGACACGTACTACGAATACCCGTCACGACGCCTACTGGTTGACCTGACCTGACCTGACCCGACCTGGTCTAAATGCTTCAAGACATCATCTGTGATCAAAACTAACACGATATTCGTGATCAGCACCCCGAAAAACCCCTTAGCAGCCACACTTTACGACTTTCTAACAGGTCCCGATTTTCCCGACTTTGGGTCATTGACCTGACCTGGAAGGTCAACCAATGACCTAGGACCTTAAAATTGGGTATCATCGGCTTCCTCTCGTCACGGGCAACACGCTCGTTTTTTCCGCGAAGCTCTAGCTCGATCAGGGGCCAAACGGCAAGGGGGGGGGGGGTCCAACCGACCCCCCCCCCCCCTACACATTAGAAGCTGGCAAACGCCGCACACATGCGAGGGTTAAAATGTCAAAGTTTCTTGGATTTGAATTGAGTTTTGGTTAAGTTCTTGGTCATTTACGTGAATCACGCATTTAAAACGGAGCACTCAGTAGTTTTAGCTTATACCAAAACTCTGTTCCAGATCTGGGAAGAACTCGCAAGGGTGCGTGGGGTAAACAGGACCTGGGAAGAGGAGTTGGAGGAAGCGAGGATGGCGCTCAAATCCATGTTGAACGAAGTCGCCTTCTGTGACACTCTGGGTAAGTGAGGAACTTTGACTGAGCCCATGTTGACTAAAGAAAGTGGCGTTAGCTTGGCGTACTCCGGCTTGCAGTTGAGGGGGATGATCAATTGCACTTTCTCGATTTAAGTGCCTTTCTAATTGTCATCCGAAACACTCATCAAGCAAAAAAATGTCATAGGTCCCTGTCGTTGAAATGCATCACTCATGTTATTTGGTATAGGTCCATCGGGGTCATCTGAAGTCACCAACGATTTCCTGCAATAGCTTTGGATCGACAAAAATACTAACTTTATTCCAACATCATTGTGTTTTTCTTGTCAACACAGAACGAATGATGAAATTCCACGAAGGTAATTTAATGCCAAAGTTTCAGATGCACCAAAATCTGAATCAAATGCATCTAATAGAAATTCCGAATAGAACGCGGATAGAGAGTGACGTAAGTGATTAAAGAGGTCACATGCAACTGTGGCACAAACTTCTGATCTGCTGACTTCTGACTTCTGATGACCTCTTTGATCTGCTGACTTCTGACTTCTGATGACCTCTTTGATCTGACCGAAATATGACCGATGTACACAGTACAGCCAAACATATTTTTTACGATATTTCGAAACCTGGTTACCGCTTGTCTCTACGGCACTCAGGAGGGGGGGGGGGGGGGGTTCAGCTGCAGGGGAGTCGTAAACCACCTCGTCCCGCTCTTTTCCTCTCTCTCTCTCTCTCTCTCTCTCTCTCTCTCTCTCTCTCTCTCTCTCTCTCTCTCTCTCTCTCTTCTCTCTCTCTCTCTCTCTCTCTCTCTCTCTCTCTCTCTTTCTCTCCCTCCCCCCTCTCTCCCTCTCCCCCTCTCTCTCTCCCTCTCTCTCTCTCTCTCTCTCTCTCTCGCTCTACCTCCCTCCCCCTCTCTCTCTCCCGCTCTCTTTCTCTTCCGCTCTCTCTTTCTCTCTCTCTTTCTCTCTCTCTCACTCTCTCTCTCTCTCTCTCTCTCCCTCTCCCGCCCCCCTCTCTCTCTCTCGCTCTCTTCCGCTCTCTCTCGCTCTCGCTCGCTCTCTCCCGCTCTCTCTCTCTCTCTCTCTCTCTCTCTCTTTCCCTCTCTCTTTCTCTTCTGCTCTCTCTACCGCTCTCTCTCTCTCTCTCCCGCTCTCTCTCTCTATCTCTCTCTTCCGCTCTTTCTCTCTCTCTATCTCTCTCCCGCTCTCTCTCTCTCCCTCTCTCCCGCTCTCTCTGTTCCACTCTCTCTCCCGCTGTCTCCCTGTGTGTTTTGTTTTGCTTAGACTTTGGTCATCTATTGCAGATGAAAAGCTGGCACATGTGCTGATGGAGATGAGGGAGGAACACGTCGTGTTCGGGCCGCCAGGAGGTCGGGCTGGCCCACCGACCATCCACGAAGAGGAACTATGGGTGGAGGGCGTAAAGGTGGCCCAGTTTGAGAGGTTCATGTCAAAGCCGGACCAATATCTGACCTGGGGGGCGGCATTCACTGTGTTCGCACAGCGCCTCAGTTTCCGCGCGACGCAAGCAGCTGCCTACTGGGCGGGGCGGGCGTACGCGGCGCCGGCCGTTCGGCTTAGCGCCCCTGCGAGTGGGATCTGAAGTGTCGGCTGAGCCCGCGCCGCCAGCCTGAGACGGGCGGCGACGTCTCCGGCTGGCGGCTCCGGTCTGGCGCCGGCCGAGCTCCGTACCTACTTGTGATGCGTTGAGGCGCTGCCCGCGGTGTCCGCCGGGCGGCCTCTCGTCCCGCGCGGCGACTGCGGCTGCTGCAGTGCCAAGATGCATGCTCTGCATTTCTGTTCGCACTATACGAATCAATACAGTTGACAGTAAACGGTAGTGTATTTTACAAAACACTGATTGTGATGATCAGAGGAGAGTTTGTGCAATATTCAAACCAAAAATCACGGAGAATATGTCTGAAAGAGGAAATGCTACATGCATGTGGCATTTCCTCTTGCGAATGAAACTTCTCATGAGAAATTTCATTCGCATCCAGCTCAGCAACACTTGGGTTGGGTGTTTAAATTACACTTCTAGGGGGTGTTTTGCATTAAGTGTGATACACATGCGAGGTGTTTTCCTGGGTGTAACCAGAAGACAAGACACTTGTAATGAAGGTTTTACTCTCGGTGTTAACACCAGGTTAAGGTGTTTTCGACACCCGAATAAGAGGTTATGACAAAGTGTTACACCTATGACGGGTGTTTCTATGGTGAGTGTGATCCTGGTGGAGAGTGTTAAAGACGAGTGTTACACTTCTACAAACACCCAATTTAGGTGTGCACTTGAGACGGGTGTAAGTGAGCGCACCGGATCAACGACACTCGTCTTAGGTGTTAACACTCGAGACGGGTGTTAATTTGCTATCAGTGCAGAGAATACCTCTGAGGGATGACCTTGGAGGTTTAGGAGCCTGTCCTTCGAGACGGGCGCAGATAAATCGACGGGTGCCATTGGCCCGGCGTGGCTGCCGCGGTCCACCGTTTCTCTCGGACACGTTGTTAGTTCTGTAGGTATCCTCATATTTCTTCCTTCACGAATGGTCAGTGGCTTATCCTATGGTGTATTTTTAAAAGCATGTCAAGTTATATCGGCGTTTAACGTTCGACATTGGACAATGTGCACGTAACCTGCCACGAAGTTGCATGTGCTGTGCTTGAACATTTTGTTACCGCACATGTGCGTTGTGCAATGTGCATCGTGCAGCACTTATCAGACACTGCTGTTGAAGTTCGTGTAAATCAAACGGCACACATGCAGCTATTGAGCAAGCATCACCACTTCTAAATAAATTAATGTGTGGGTAGGTACTGTCAATCACTTATGCTTATGGGCATACCCAGCTTGCATGCCCATTGTCAATGCGTGAGCATTGAATAGGCACGTTCTACTATGTCGTCTATCAGATCACATGTATGATGTGCGCAGCTGCCGACGGGCCTCCTCAGACATACATTGGAGAAACAAAGCGCTGTTTCAGATACAGGTTCGATGAACATTTTAGAGACGGCACCAATCGTACGAGGCAGACTCCCTTTGGAGAACATATGAGGGAGAGCCATCCGAATGAGTCAGAGCCTCGGCTATCTGTCACCATTCTTCGCAGATGCAAAGACGCAGCTGACCGGAAGATAGCCGAGGCTCAGGCTATCCGGGATAGGCAGCCCTCTCTGAACGGCCAGATCGACACGTGGCCACTGCTCCACTGAACGATTACGTTTTGTCAACCATCGATCGATGTGTTTTGTATATGTACATGTTGCACGTATGTAATGTATTCGGTGTGATGTGTTGATACATTTGAGTACGAGGTGTAGGACCCAATTACTTGTAATTATTAAATTTCGGTACCGGTGTCAAATGTGTAATTGTGTAGTGATCGTGTGTGTTCTTATTTAGGCCAACATGCGTCATTTTAGTTCTGTATACCTATGCTGCCAGTCTGGGGAGAAGATCGTGATCGTAAATTATGCCTTTTTTATTTAAGGTATCATTGACTTAGATGTATTTAGGATTAGTACTTAGGGTAAAGTGTTAAAATTGGATTATTGTTATTTATGGCAGCAACAACTTGTGATCGGTGGTTCAAAGAATGTTATCCGCACGTTCGCCATCTCTGCTTCAAATATGAATGGTTTAGATTATGTACTCTGAAGAAGCCACAAGGGCGAAATATCAGTCACTTTATATATATTTTGTTTTTTCGTCATTTTTCGATTAAGTATGAGCAAAGGCTATTTCATCATCACTAAAACTATAATACTAACAATGCTCATCACAGCCATCAACCATATATGTTCTCAAGGCACGTTCTACGTTTCATTCGTGGATTAATGTTTTATGTTGAATGGGTCTGCCATCCTACATCCACTTTTTCAGCATGCTAACGCTTTACTTGCGAGAGCGAATCTTTTTCGGTTAAAACGATTTATTCAGTTTTTTTTTTTTCGTGCAACATTAACTCGCCTCCCTACGCCGATTCGAAACACGATTGAAAGCAGGTTAAGGGTCGACGCACCGAACTGATTAGGTCGCCTCACCTTTTGCAGGCTTTATTACGCAACGAACATACCTGAGCCCACCATTCTCACTAAACGCGTGCCCAGCAAAGCTTCTGAAGGCCAGTGCTGCCGCCGGGAGCCGACGGAAATTGAAATGAGCCCTCCTCAGCATTCTTCGGTCGAGGCCGTGACGTGGCCGGGGGGCGTTTGTTTACCAGTTTGCCTAGTCTGAACGGCAGAGAACATTGCTGACGCGATGGCGGGGACATCGGTGACGGTAGACGGATGCTGTTTTGGTGACCTCAGATACGGGCGATATGACCCTTGTTGTGTCAGCTCAGAGCCTTCGCCCTTGGACTGTGACTTTCACGTTTGTTTTCCTCCGCTCGGTAGTTCCTGCAAGGCAAGCCCGCGGGTCGGCTGGGTCTTCGATAGAACGTTCTCCGCGTGTAATGGTAGAGTACCCAGCCATAAGCCCGCCGTTACTATATTATTTTTTGTTTTTAACGGAGCGCGATGAGGGACAGCTAACGAAATGAAGGCCTCACAGCTATGTGAGATTAATCCTTTCCGGAAATGTGTACACGTATAATCACTTGTTTGTTTTGCATGCCATGGCCCTGCTCTAGTACACTCAAGGTTACCTATACAGTAAAGATGAAACAAATATCATCACATTAGGAAAGCAGCTCTGGTTAATGAACGATCCGGCCCACCATAAGCTAATGATCACGATTCTATTCACGATCACGGTTAATGCATTCCGGAACTAATTGACTTCTAATAGGAACGTTTGTATACAAGCAATCGCCTTTGTCATCGAATCACCTGTGTGATCTGACATAAATAGACACATTGCACATCGCAAAAAGCGTGATCTAATGAAGTGGCACGAGGAAAACAGATCACCGTCTTCAATATCAATGAGAAGAGGTGAAAAATAGGTGCAGTGCGGCAGCATCCAAACTTGATCCAAACTGAAAAACCTCGACGAAGCTTGATTGATCCGCGTTAAATCTATGTGAATCCATGAAAGCTCAGCAAACGAAGAAACTTTGCCAAGGCAGTAAATAGACATGATCGGCCTGCAAAACTTAACACTTGGCGGTCAAATTGAAAAATGAATCGTATTGTATACGGCTGAGTTCTAAACAATGTAAAGGAGACGCACTGATGGATAAATTTCCTTCTATTGCACAATGAGGCAATTACAGTTTAAAGATAGGTACGCAATGCTTTATTGTCCGGTAGCTCGTGCTCACACCAGGTTTAAATAGTTATTGATTATTGATCGGTGGGAAATATAAACACCATGCTTAGGTAATTCTTTATTTCTTTACGTGCAATGATCAGTGCCAACAAATCCTTCACTATCGGGTGAAGTCAAGGAAAGAAAAACATCAGACACACAAGGAACAAACATTAAACCTCGAGGACACGGGGACAATATGGATGCGCTTAGGTATGCCGGTCAGCACAAAAGTGTGAACTTTAATGGTGCATGAATACTGAATAGCCATGCTACATTAAAATTCATCAGTTGAACACCGAAACTGTCAGGCCCACACAGTCAAGATCGGCAGCCGATGTTCTGCTTAGCTGTATGATTATGAGGCTAATTAATGACTTACGTTTAGCGTGCGATACCTGAAAGGCCCGCAGCTAAACTGACCTTTCGTCTCTGTCGCAGATCACCTCAACGTGACAGAGAGTGCCGGCATCCAGGAACAGCCGCCGCCAGCAGACGACCCTGCCGTGGAGCGGACGGGGTCAGAGCAGGACCCGAGGTCGCGTCTCGAGTCTGAGTCAAACTCCAAGTCAGACAATGAGTCAGACACAGCCTCAAGGCCGAAACCTAAGTCAGAATCGGACCCTAGGTCAGCCCCTGCAGCAGAGTCAGACTCCAGGACAAGCCCTGAGTCAGTGACTGACTCGAAGTCGAGTCCTGACTCGGAGTCGGACTCATGGACAGCTCTGAAGGCAGCTGCCGTGGCCAAGTGCGATCCAGAGACGGCGGCAGAGATCGGTAAGTCCGAGGATGTGGCGAAAGTCATGGGCCGCGGCGAAAGTGGCGCTGCAGGCGACGAATGGCTGTCGGGAGGCGTATTTACAAATTGCAACCGAGCTCCGCCGTAGGGTATTTTATTTCCGCCGTAGTGTATTTCACTTGGGGAATTTTCTACCATACAACTGCCTGAGCTTAGGGTAATTACAATATGTCGGCGACTTTAAAAAATGATGCACTTTTTTCGCAGTAGAGGATATCGCATGTGCATATTTCTGCCTTTTTGGGTGCGCTTTATCGGTTTTTCGTGAGTAACTCGCGTAAAAACCGTCCGATCGCGACGAAACTTTCATTGCCCCCGATTTTATTAATTTTACACCTACCCTGAAAATTTCATGACCCTGACCCAAATGACCTTTAACCTGTGACCTATTTCTCGAGACCATGTTTGGCCCGAATCGCGATTCGGCGTATGTCGGCTCGCATTAGCCGCGCGGTTGCAATCTTCACGTGGCTTCAAGCGTTGAAACATGTGATATGATGCTGGTCCCATGCATTAGAGTGAGTGTCAAGGTCACCTGAAGGTCAGGTCAGCTCAATGACCTTTGATGACCTCGGTTCCTTTTTCGAGTTTTACATGTTTTAGGCTAGTTTTTGGAGCTGATTTCGAATCTAGCAACCATTTGAACATTACAGGGGGTGTAACGAAATTATCCGGACACCTTTCTTCCCGCTGTAATTAAATAGCAAAACAATCTGGTACTTTTTCTTTTAACTGAGCTTGTAGCCACCTTTCATAAAAACACAGTGGTGAATGTTCTGGAGCATTTCAGCCAATGAATTCTCCAGCACACTGGCTTTGATGCGGACCAACGCCGTCTAAACCTGTGCCTGCGGTTGAGCAGTGCTTATGGCGGGTGACTCTTCATATACCTCCTGCTGAACAAGAGCCAACAGGTTTTCGATTGAATTGGGATCGCGACTTTTTCCAAGTCATAAGCGTTAGCCCAGAATGATTGAAGGTTCTATAGGCATCACTTCCCGTTCTTTTAGGGAATTTTAAGTAGCGCGCCGCCCAGGGCCTATTTTAACATGTTAACTGGGGGGGCAAATGCCCCCGCACTCAACAGAATTGCCCCCCTAGTCGTCGAGATTTGCCCACTATAAAAATGGGCATAAAGGAACAGGGTGACAAACATACTACGTAACTACTGTGACTTGTTTTGCAATGGATGTCAAATGAGTCAGTCTGTAAGTAATGACCAGTGGTGTATCTAAGGGTGGGTCATATGGGTCATGACCCCCCCCCCCACCCTCTTGGGGCCCGGGGACACCACAGGCCTGCCAGGGGCACCACCGGCCTCGCAGGGGCACCACCTTGGGCCTGTCAGGGGTACCACCACAGCTAGGCCCGCCAGGGGCACCATAGGCCTGCCAGAGGCACCATAGGCCTAGCAAGGGCGCCACGGACCTGTCAGGGGCACCAGAGGCCTAGTATGGACACCACATGCCTGGCAGGGACACCACCGGCCTCGCAGGGACTGGGACACCTTGGGCCTGTTAGTGGCACCACGTGCCTGTCGGGGACACTCCAGGCTTGTCAGGAGCACCACAGTCCTGTCAGGGCCCAGGGGCACCACCGGCCTCACGTGGACACCACCGGCCTCGCAAAGGCATCATGGGCCTGTCAGGGGCACCACGGGCCTGTCGTTGGAACTTCAGGCTTGTCAGGGGCACCACAGTACTTTCAGATGCACCGGCGGCCTAGCACCATGGCACCATCAGCTTGGCCGGGATCGCGATTCGGCGTATGTCGCCTCGCATTAGCCGCGCGTTTGCAGTCTTTTCGTGGTTTCAAACGTTCAAACATGGGATATGATGTTGCTCCCATGCATTAGGGTGGGTGTCAAGATCACCGGAAGGTCAGGTCAGATCATTTACCTTTGATGACCTCGGTTCACATTTTCGAGTTTTATATGTTTCTAGGCTAGTTTTTGGAGCTGAATTGGAATTAAGCAACCATTTGACCATTTACGAAGTAGTTTTGGTGCCTTCGTAACATGTTACGAAGCTGTCAGAGGCGGTTGCCACCTACTACGAATACCCGGTAAAACCCTTACTGGTTGACCTGACCTGACCTGACCTGACCTGGCCTAAATGCATGAAGACATCATCTATGATCATAACTAACATGATATTCGTGATCAGCACCCCGAAAAACCATAGCAGCCACTCTTTACGACGCTCTAACAGGTCCCGATTTTCCCGACTTTTGGGTCAATGACCTGACCTGGAAGGTCAACCGATGACCTAGGACCTTAAAATTGGGTATAATCGGCTTCCTTTCATCACGGGCAACACGGTCGTTTTTTTCCGCGAAGCTCTAGCTCGATCAGGGGCGAAACGGCAAGGGGGAGGGTCCAACGGACCCCCCCCCCCCCCCTATACGCTCGCTACTGGAAACACCAATACGGGCGAGGGTTAATGGATTATTAAAGACAATTTTCCAGGTTGCCCCCCCAGTCAAATTCCCTTAAAATAGGCTCTGGCGCCGCCCCACATGAAGACAGCGCGGCTTGAATCAGGCATCAGTGCGCGTTCAGAAATCGTGCCCTCCTATGCCGTCTGGTTGAGCGCCTCCAATCATGCTCCACCACCTTCCCTGAAAAAGCTCCACCCTTGCCTATGGGGCAAAATATAATGGACAAAAACACAAAACAAGACAGATAAAAACAAAACAAAATTAGCTCATTACCTAATGAAAATCAGGCTGGAGCAAATACATAGGTAATAGGTATCTATGTCAACTTAGAATGAAAGATTAAAATCAACCTGACCAGGCCTTACGGTCTGACCTGGTCCTAACCACCTTACTAACCCAATTCAACCTAGCCTACCATAACACCTGCAGAGGTACCTTCCTGGAAAAATGACGCCCAGGGAGGTGACTGTCCAACTTATTGGAATACTACCATGATTGCTTGTCAAAATGTGTGTCATCATGCTCTTGTTTGACAAGTGATGTATAATAAATGTGATATTCAATAACTATCTCCTGACTGTTGACTGTTGAGTGGTCAAAATATTCAAATAATCAGGGTACAATGCTGTGCATAGTGCACACTAATCATGTGGTTTTTGTGTAGGCCCTCTGCACATTGTTGTGTGCACTGCTATGTGCACCTTAAGTAAAAAAGTGACTGGTGGTACATGACAAAAGGTTGTGCAACTGTGAAGTTCATGCCCTTGGTCAAGCTGGTGCCAAATGCCTATAGCTATAGCAGGATCAGTGAGGGTTGTAACCGAAGGTTTGTTGTCAATAGTTAAAACAATATTCTTTAGAATTGTGTTTTTCTATTGAAAAACAAATCTGAGTTCCCTGACAATTTGGCAAAAGCTGCCTGAGATAGACATGCTACATACATTGTGCATTGAAGATATTGGCACAAAGTTCATCCGTAATTACTATGCTTAACACCTAATGTAAGAAGCGACATAAATGCCCAGATGATAAAACTCTCTGGTCAACATCACACAAATTTATTGACATACTTTGCAGGTACATATTTACATTCATGGCAAATACTTTCGATTTGATTCAGAAACTAGTTGCTAGAAAGCTAGCATTTTTGTGGGTACAACAACGATCATATATTAAATCATAAAAACCTTCTCATGGCATTCATCACATGCCTTTTTACCGAACAAGTACCTAGCTACCATGCCATGATTCTAAATTTTTCCGCAATCCATCTATATCTCAACTGACACAATAAATTTGAAATACCCTAACAAAACCTTTAACTGTACATAAGAAGAATGCAATACTACACAAGAACTATGACAATGTACAAGAACTGTGAATATGTATTGTACAAGAACTAGTATGTACAAGAACTATGAATTTATGAAGTTATTCTCACATGCTGGAATGTTGAAACTCTACTTTTGTCGTCCATTTCCACGTTTGATTGAGCCATCATATCGAACTGTTTTCTTTCTTCAGTCACAAGCTTTCGCACAAATCTTGAATTTTTACGCATCATCTTGAACCATGCTCCAGTATTTCCAGCAAGGTACTATGTAACATCAAAGCAATTTTGATTTTTTACAACAGCTTCAGATTCATGAAAGGCTTGAGGTTTGTTACACCATTTGTCAGACAAATATCTACAAAATGTGTATCAATTCCCAAACTAAGTAATTGATCATATCAGTATTTGCAGTTTCCACAAAATGTTTCATAATACTATTCTATGTTTATATAAAGAAACTCAAATAATCCACAAATTGTTATTGAAACACTCCTACTTCAAGAATTCACAGCAGTACAAGTTCAGAAGCAAACAAACATTGCGCCAGATTTCGTATGAAACGCGCCATCGTCCTGAAGTTTCTACCACAGACGGTAGTTCAGCCGCAGCCGTAGTGCAAAAACCCCTGCCCACCTTACCCCACGGCGGAGCTCGGTTGCAATTTGTAAATACGCTGTCGGGAGCCGGGACGCTGACGGCCGCCGCTTTACCAGCGACTTTATTCAGGCGGTTATGGTGATTTATTACTCCTGTTTCTAGAGACAGCATTTCTTGGATGAGCAGAGCTAAATAGGCATAATACAAAATTGATTGCAGATAAATCTTTGTCAGCCTATTTAGATGCTAAATTTGTACCGTCACTCACCGAATATATCCATTAAGCTAGCGTTTCTGCTCCATGAAACAACGAACGATCGTTGGAAAACATTTTGTCAGTCATTTTTATCAACATGCTACATATAGCAAACCGTACAGCTGACCGTTATAGTCATCCCAACTGTCTGATTTTATCATAAAAGCCTCTACCTGCTGGCTGCTATGACCGGGTCTTCTGTCTGGGGAAGCGGGACATCTTCAACACAAGACGCAGCTAGCGCAATGACTGTGTTTTATCGCGCTCCCCAGAGTCACTGCTGGACGCGGCGGCGGAGGGCAATGTCAGCTCGCTGGAGACGGCCACAGAGCGCTGCGGACCCGGCGCGCTGCTCACCACGGTCGAGCTGGTCGAAGTCAACTGGAGCTTCATTGACGCCTTCTTTTTCTGCATGACCGTCATCACGACTATCGGTAAGAAAATGAATCGGATGGAGCGAAAATGATATCACCTCTCACTCGTCGCTTAGATCTGCCTCACCAAGCCCAGGGTTGCATTTCCAGCGTCATGAGACAGAGAAACCACAGGTAGTCGTGAACCTTACGGCACCGGGCCCGCCTGGCACCGTGCTATGGAGCACAGTCTGGTCAGGTGTTCAATAGAAGCACGCATCAGCGGCTGCCGAACGGCGCGGAGAGCACGCGTCGCCGTCGTTACTCGTTACGGACCCGGGACCGTGCTGGGTTTGGCACGGCTCGTGCTCGGTTTGGGTTCGGTTCATGTTCGTCTCGTATACCGCAGAATAATGTCCCAATCCTCAAAAGCAGTCAGTTGGCTGGAACGCTAAGTTGTCTGCCTTTTTATGCAATATGCAATTAAGCGTATCCTTGGTGATCGCTGATTCACATAGTTAGCTGCGTCATTCAGCCCGTGTGATGCGGCACAGCCTACCTAACACTCATAGCTGATTGCCTGTGAAAAGTGGAAAATCATTTTGCAGTCAACTGTACGGTTACGGAGCTAGAGCTAGAGGCCGCCAAGTTGACACACACTTACCCATTTGACACGCAAAGGCTCTTATTATTTATTCATTTATCGTCATATTTATAGAAGCTTTAAACATTTCTCAAATCGCTATTATACTGCATCGTTTGACGGCGGCGTTATCGGACAGTTTTCTGTTGGTGAGATATTCTGGGTCTTTTTATTTCCACACAGCAAAAAATGGCAGATGCGTTGCGGGAGCTTTCGGCTTCATTTTTACAGGAAGGCTATAAAGTAGCCCTAACTGAGGGCACCTAACCATGTGGGTGTGCATCTGTAGGTAGGTATACTGACCGCCAGTACCAAACGTTGCCAGACATTCAGTGAATTATCATAATCGTTTACAACGCTGTGACGACCTTTATCAAGCAGGTATTTCGGAAAACTATCAAAGTAAAAAATGATGCATGAGCACTATGAACAGTGCGCATCTGTGGTGTTCCCATAGCGCCTTTTCTTCTCGCCAAAAAATGCGGGCTGACTCTTGCGCACGAACTTGCGAATGCTAAGAGTTGAGACTATATGAATCCGATGATCGCACGAGTTTTATGTATTGAACAACAATGCTGGCCAGCTAGCAGCTCAGCACGTCTATTTTTCTTACATGCCAGATACGGCTCGTTGCAGCTTGCAAGGCTCCTTGTTTATATTAATACGTTGTAAACATAGCGCTAAGGGCCTATTAGATCATATTTGGCACAAACCTGATATCAGTCCGCCATTCAGAACAAAGATAAACAAATAACTTATGGAAACAATCTAGAACCAGTGCAACACATCACAGTCCTGCCTTACTGTACGTTCCTCCACTGCAAATTTTCGACAAAATGCTATCGAATGCTATTGCTATTTGTTATTCATTGCATTATTAAGGTTATTTTATTACCAACTTTCCCTCACTCGATTTTATACAGTAATAAAATACATTCTGAGAGATGACAGAATATACCTAAGTATGTTTCCCGTTCCCAAACGTTAATTAACCAAACGTTAAAGGGACCCTCCCACCTTAACATTAGATTTGAGTTGAGATAGCCAAAATGGGGTCCCTGGCTCACAATTACCGGTTTCGGCACTCACGACATCGAGAAATGCCTTAAATCGGAAATATTGAATTTCAAAATTGCAGCATTTTGATTCAGAGGGGCTAATGCTTAGGAATACCCCTCTGAATGTGTGACGTAAGCGCAAATTTCTAACGATTTTTAAATGTTTGACTAAAACGTTTTGTAGCACGCGGTGGTATATGCTATTTGCGCGCAACATCTGCCGCAAACGCCGCACTTCTAAAATAAGGTCGCTAGAAACAGCGGAGATCCCAAAAAAGTAAACAAAAGTAAAAGTCTAATATCTTGAAAACCGGTGAATATTTTTCGGTGAAATTTGGTAGATATTCGTTTTCGCTCTTTCTGAACCGAGCGACATCACTTTCATGCCAATTCATAAACTTTTTTGAAGGTGGGAGGGTCCCTTTAAAGGGACCCTCCCACCTTCAAAAAAGTTAATGAATTGGCATGAAAGTGATGTCGCTCGGTTCAGAAAGAGCAAAAACGAATATCTACCAAATTTCATCGAAAAATATTCACCGGTTTTCAAGATATTAGACTTTTACTCTTGTTTACTTTTTGGGATCTCCGCTGTTCCTAGCGACTTTATTTGAAAGTGCGGCATTTGTTGCGCGCAAAGCAGCATATACCACCGCGTGCTACAAAACGTTTTAATCAAACATTTAACGGACGTTCGAAAGCCTGATGACGTCATCAGATCCCCGTAATGGTTAAGAGATAGGGACCACGCTGGTCCCACCCTGCAAGTAAAGGGAAGAAATTTCTTGAACACCATAAAGCTGCGGGGGTTGCGACCAGGATAAATGGTGGTTTCTGAGCCTGGCCGCAAACTTGGCTATCTCAACTCAAAACTAATGTTAAGGTGGGAGGGTCCCTTTAAGTCCTTAAAAAGAGCTTAGGTATATAACAGGGTGTGCGTTTTTGCGGAACTCGCACCAAATGCTCACAATATGGTTCGAATGAAACGCACATTGCAAAAACACATGCCTATACTTTGTTGGGAATGAGTGAATGGTGAAACTCGGATAATTTAATTCGTATATAATTCGCGAAGTTTGATGGTAAGTTTATGCACTAAAACTTGAAGTAAAATCATTTCACCTTCAAAAAGGGTTGCAACAAGATTTTTTTTTTTTTTAAGACGTTTGGTCACGCCGAGGTAGTTTTTATCGGATAAGGGATACAGTTTATATTTCGTTCATTCAGGGTGTTGTAACATCTAACCATTTACCTCGCCTGTCTCTCTGTTTCTGCAGTCGGTTCGTTCATCCCTCGCCCCTATCTTACCCGATCTCCGTTCCGCCGGCCAGGCTACGGTCACATCTCGCCGTCGTCGGCGGGTGGCCAGATTTTCTGCATCTTCTACTCTCTGCTGGGCATCCCAATCAGCGGCCTGCTGCTGGCCGGCCTCTCGGACTTCTTCGCCGGAAACCTGCTCAACTTCTACGACTCCAAGTGGCAGAAGAGATGGGGCGAATCCAGGTGAGTCCAAACCGAGTCGCGGGTGGCTGGACAGACAGTGCTAGCTGGTTAGACTAGGGACTATCACAGTTTGCTGGGGCTACATGTCGTCGGATTCGAAAATCGGAGCGACGTCCACCAGTCCGGTGCTCGCGTGAAACTGTTCGCATGGTGCGGTGCTGCCACCTTCCGAGAGGAGCCTTGGCCAAACGAGCACGAGAGGGCAGAGCGAACAGCAGAACCGGAGTGACCACCGCCAAATCACAGCTCCACGGATCGTGCGTGCACCCTTATCTGATCCCCATTTACGATTTTTTAGATTATATGGAGACTAATGGAACTCGGTAACGTCTGTTTTTATTCAATACTAGAAATCAGACATGTGCATGGATCCGAGTGATGGATCTATGATCTCAGTGGATCTCAAAGTAAACTACAGGTTGGGATCTATGATCCCACCGGATCCGGCGCTAAAAATTCATCTCTGATCTATGATCTCATATGATCTGACGATAAATTAAGAACATGGATCTGTGATCTGAGTGGATCCCACCATGCACCACATTTGAAACCATGTTTTAAAGGGTTTCTATGCTAATGTGTGCCATAAAACTATGGGTTATGACGTGCGATCACATAAAATCACTAAAACAGAACGTTTGTGAGCTGAAACAAGTGTTTTTTGAGGATTTATGTGCTATTTATGTGTTGTTAGATTTATGTGTTGAAATAAGTGAGGATCTATGATCTCACTGGATCTCAAGCAAGAAATGAGACTCGGATCTGTGATCCATACGGATCTCTCGACAAATTACAGAGCTAGATCTATGATCCCGTCGGATCCGAGATCAGGATCCGTGAGATCAGATCCCAGATCCATTTTTTCGGATCCATGCACATGTCTGCTAGAAATCTTTCAGCGTCGTCAGTTGTCACTTCACACGGGCTGCTGGTGCCGCTGTCTAATACATGTACTGTGCCCCTCAGATGGAGTCTGGCCGGTTTCACGGCTCTGTACCTGCTGGTCGGCTTCCTGCTGTTTGTGTTCGCCCCGGCCGTGGTGTTCACCTGGCTCGAGGGCTGGAACTACCGCGAGTCCGTCTACTACGCCTTCATCACACTCTCCACCATCGGATTCGGAGACTACACCGCAGGTCGGTACTCGGTCGGATAGATTTAACTCGAGTGTCCTATTCCTATTCATACGAGTAGAACATATTTCTCATCCATGGTATCGGCAGCTGTGACTGCGCTTTCGAAGGTCCCTAACCGTTATTGGATCACATGGATGACACCGATTAGTTCCAATTGTGTCAATCAAGATTACTAGGACATGAGGTTGGGCAAATTGTGACGTCAATATTGTCGAGTGTCATCGCGTTATGTAGAAACATCGACTAGGTTTTCGCACTCTCAATTTTAAATGAGACTTACTTTGATGTGTTAATTGTCATTGAACTACTGGTGCATGATTTCACTCAACCGAATATACGTGGTGCACTCCAGAAGTTTTGATACTTTTTCAGTAGAGACAGTTTGCTGTTTCAGAACAGCATGAAACTTCAGTGACTCTCGAAATGAGACCTCCCGAGCTCAATACACTTGCTGTAGCGCTCCGGTCACTTCCTGAAGGCCCGCTGCTAGTAATTCAAAGTGGAGGTGTCCAGGGCCTCTGTCACAGCCTCATCCATCTCCTCCACATCCTCCAAGCGGCGTCCCCTGAACTTCTCGCTCAGTCTGGGGAACATCCAGAAGCCACAGATGGCCAGATCTGGACTGTTGGGAGGATGAGGGACAGTTTTGATGCCCATCTGTGTTAGTTAGCTCGTCACCTTGATGGTCTTGTGGGTGGGTGCGTTGACCTGGTGCAGGTGCCCCGGGCCAAATTTGATGAGTTCGGATCTCTTGCGGCGAATTCCCTTTCTCAACTCCCCTAGAACTTTTATGAAGCATTCCTTGTTAATCATCTGGCCGTGCACGGGACCCAGCTAATGAATATAATGCCTTTTTGTCAAAATACAGGATTATTATGAGCTTCACAGTGGACCTGCTCTGCCTGGTTTTCTTGGGTCTGGGGGAGTCAGTGTGCTTCCATTGAACACTTTGTCTATTGGTGTCTGGATCGGTAAAAATACATCCAGTTTTCGTCCCAAGTCACTGGAGAGTCAATTTTAAATGTTTCTGGGGTATTTTATCAAGCTAATCACCAAATTGTATTGCCTAGCGACCCTCAAAGTTGTCCTCACATTAACAGCCTGACCATGCTGTGCACTGGCCGCTGTGACAAGTCGCTTGCGACTTGCAGTGTTCAGGGTGATGCCCTAGCCGTCTCTTGCAACGTACAAAAACAAAATTATGCAAGTACGTTTACGACAACTGTGGTAAGGACACATGAAAGCGACAAGAATCTAGCACTGTTAATATGGCTTTTACGAGGGCAGTCTCAAAACTTCTGGAGTGGACGACGTACATAGGTACTTGGCCTGGTTCTTGGTATACCTGGTTCACATGGCATGATATGGCTCGTATGTCATACGGGTTTGCCATGCGAGTTAACATCTGCATAAGTTCGTGCGTCGATTTATTATCTGTGTAGACGCTTTCACGTACCCCGCCCGCAGCGATCGCGAACGACGACGCCTGGACCACCGTCTACAAGGTGTTTGTTATGCTCTGGGTGCTGATCGGCCTCGGCTACTGGGTGCTCGTGCTCAACTTCCTACAGAAGGCGCTCAAGTCCAAGGAGGTGGTGGCCGGCCTGCGACAGACCTCCAAGCTGATCGCCAAGGAGGCTGAGGACATCCGGCAGGCTTTGGTCGACGCCGGCATCCTGCAACGTGACGCCGTCTTTGTGCCTGAGCACTCTAAGATGACCATGAACCTGATGATGAACATGAGTTCGATGTTGGCGGTCGGTGGCCCCCACGCGGACGGGGCGGGGGCAGAGGCCGGCGCCCCGGCGCCGCACCTCGGCGAGGTACGCGGCATCCACTCGATGGGCGCCTCGTTGCGCTCTAACAGTCTGCTCAGCGCGCTGATGGCCTCCCTGCCGCCGTCTGCCGCGGCCGCGCCCCAGACGCCGGCGGCCGCCCCGGTCACAGCTGAGGGCGCCGCCGCACTGACGCCCCTGCTGGAGCAGCGTGCAGAGGAGAGCTCTGTAGAGCAGCGTGCAGAGGAGAGTGCCGGGGGCGAGGGCACGGAGGAGGGCACTGGGGGCGAGGGCACGGAGCAGAGTACTCGGGGACAGGGTACAGCTGAGAGTCCTGCGGACCAGCGCACAGAACCAGAAGAGAGCCCCGTCTGAGCTACTGGGACAGTCGTGGCCGTCTGAGCTGCTGGATTGGCCCGGCGTCCCGTTTTAGGTGATGGGACAGCCCTGGAATTCCGTGTGAGGTGGTGTGAATGTGCTAAATATGTAAGTCCCGATTGACTTGGTGGGCTACCTTGGATGTCCGTCGAATTGGAGGGGAAGTATGCTGAGCCTCGTTTGTTCCGAGAGCCCCTAGGCTGGCCTGATTGTCGAGGGCGCAATAAGACAGTGCCAGATATCCCCCGCAGGTGAGCGAAAGCGGATATGAAACTTTTTGAGGTAAACTTTCATTCCACATCGACTCGAGTTGTTTGTTTTAGAACTTCTCTTTTCTTACTGTCAAATGAGAACGTAGGATTTAGAAGGGTTGTATGTAGATTTGCTATTGCTATTCTTTGGCTATTCTTGTAGTTTGTTGAAGATGACGCGCTTTTTCATGCGTTATTTTAAGATCTTAGAAGCTTGACGAATCACTAGTGTGCCTATCAACCGTTTAGAGAAATCTTTTAACCCGCGCCCCGTAGGGCTACCGGCGGACCCTACCACCCGTAGGGGGGGGGGGGGGGCGTTTCGGCCCCCCCCTAAGATCTCGGAAAGTTACCGGCCGATTTTCAAAATTCAAACGGCGTTCGATAGTCCCACCCGGGAACTACCTTGTGACCAAATTTCATTGACCTAGGTCAAACCGATGACGTCACAGGTCAGGTCAAAGGTCATATTTTCACCGTTCACAGGCAATTCAAGAAATGTGCTGTGAAAGCGAGTAAATTGGTAATTTATTGAAAACCATCGATGGTACATTGTTCGTCAAACACATACTTTGCTATCTGAGGTCACTGATACCAGGTCAGGTCACAGCGAGGTCAGGTCACCGGGGGTCACAATATGAATGTGTCGTGTGATACATGTTTTATGGTCCATTTTACATGACAAATGCGATTATGTGGGTTAGGCAGCCTTTGGGGCCAGCCTAGGTCACGTTTTTGTGAAGGTCAGGTCAAGGTCAGGTCAAATTAGGTCAAATTTCAAAGTTGATATTTTTGCATAAAATGGGTATCGATTCGATGCAGCTCGTCACGGGAAGTCTAATGGTGGTCTTCGTTTTGCTCTACGAGTTCTAGAATTGCCAAAAATTGAGTTTGAAAATTTGACGTCATCATTTTTGAACAGTTTTTTCGCTATAACTTGGCCAAAAAACGAGGTATCGAGTTGAAATTTGGTATGTAGATAGAAGACGGTAGGCACTATCACATATATTCCGGTTTTTTCGAAACTCAAAAAACTTTTTGGATTTTTGGCGAATATAAAAAAAAAAGGCTTTTTTAATTTTTGGGGGTCAAAACTCAAAAATTTCAAACATTCGAGATAGCAGTTTTGTAGCCCTGTCAATTCTACACCTTTTATGTCTGATCATTTTTCTGTATCTTCAAAGCTGTAGTCCTGACATGTCTTCTCGCGAAGGTCTTTTTTCGGTCGAAAATGACAGAACATGACGTCACTCTGACGTCATTTGTGGCCAACCTATCATAGCCTCTGGAAAAATTTTTGGTCACAATGTGTAAAATTGATGCCCGGAGGGGTCCTGAAAGTTTGGTGGCGATATCTCCAGCCGTTTAGGAGATATCGACCGAAAAGGACAGGGGGGGCCGTTTCGGCCCCCCCCCCCCTACGGGGCGCGGGTTAAATCCTGATAAGATATGTGCATGCGTTGGGATATCAGATTCGGACAATAGGTACTGAACGAGACATATGAAATATTTTGAATATCATTAAGTAACTATGTGTTAGGATCCATGACAACGTGTTGAATTTGAATACGTGTTTTGACTGCTTTGTATATTTGCACTCTGCTCAAGCAATGGTGCTGAACTGAAATGACTGTGTCGGTTTTGAGAGCATTGAGTATTGATAATAATACATTTTTTTAAAAATAAACTTACCTACGTTTCATTTTCATGTCAAATATTGAAAGATGACTACGCATAACGTCTTCAAGCAGAACGTATGTAAATAGCATTGTTACAATCAAATACCGGGTGGCCCAGAAAAAACGTTCCCAACTTTAAATGAATATTTCTCAGAAAGCGATAAAGATACAACATTGAAACTTCGAATAGTCAATGCGGCACACATTTTCAGTAAATGGTGTGATTTTCATGGTGTTCGGTAAATTACTTTTTAAACGGTTCGTGTTTCAAGCATGCCATGTAAAAATTACTTTTTTGCTCCGATGTTTACTCAAAAATGTGAGTGAACAGGTCACTTTCACCCCTCGGCCCACGGCCTAGAGCCATGGCTGCTACTAGCAGCTAGTCTCATTGATGGTTCGGGTCTCAGGATGACACATTCCATCAGGCAACCACGATGGCTCTGTGCCAGTGGCTTCGGAAGAAGTTTCCAGTTTTCTAACCATCTTGTGGCTCAAATGCTTTCCTGGCTGATATTCCTGGGAAAAGGTAGCTTTTCAACCAGTTTTCTTTTTTGTCATCTGCTGGCAATGTTGTTTTTCATAAAATGTTATGTGGTCTTCTGGCACAGGAACTAGTCTGTTTTAGTTTGTTTTCCTTATCCGGTCGATTTACTGTTTGATCTACTGAAAGGAGGGTAATCAGCAGTAATCCATGCACCGTGCCACGAATCATGATTTGGTGTTAAAACGAATGGCATCCATGAGCACCATTTTGGCTCAGTATTTGAATATTTGGCACATAAGTGAGACACAAATATTTAAAATAAGAACATACGTGTTGGTTTCATTCACATGCTCTATTTTTCTATTCTTTTTTATAACATGGGGCGTCTAACCCAATCATCACTATCGTTTGACATCGGCAAAAAAAGCAAAAACGTCTTGCTTAATTCAACTCAAGATTGCCAGCTTGAAAATGATGGTATAGTGTTATAATTTAGCATACCAATGCGCAAAGAAATGACGCAAACTTGCTGAAAATTTTGTCTCGTTATTTGCACTCGAATTTGATACATAGGCCTCCAAAGTTCGGAACGTTTTTTCTGGGCCACCCGGTATACCTACCTATGCAACGACAACATTTACGATTAGGATAACATCATTCTGCTGTTTCTATTATTTTCATATTCTTTAATTTCATTTTTAATGTAGGTATTCATTTCGGATTCTTTTAGTTATTAGCAAAAAGTTTATTATTCATTCTTACTGCAAATATACTTACCTATTCATTCTTATTGCAATTATGCCTACCTATCATTTTATTTCTATTAACATCACAAGTGATTATTGCACCTAAAATACCTTTAGGTACGTACCTGAAGAATGATCTTCTCCGATAATCTATTTTTGCGATCAGGCTGCCCATTTAGTTCAGTGTGATAAAATGTCAAAACTGACCCGGCCCGGGCTGACCGGTCCGTCGCCGACGCGGGTGTACCGGTATTCGCCGGTATCGGGCTTGGTATCGAGCCATGTTTGGCCACCGCCCCCCGATATCTCATCAATGTTTGCCCATATTGTCAACGAATTTGCGCGTCCGCTCCCAAATTACTGGTGTCGAGCATGACCAGTGTGGTGCCAGCAAGGCCCGCTGCTTCACTGCCCCCCGGTGTGATTGACGGTGGAAGGGTAACTTCGGTAAGTAGCGTCAACCTGTGCATAACCTAGGCTGTCAGAGGCCACGGACTCCCCCGACCACCGCGCCACAGAGGTATGTACTCAGCTACAGGAGGCCCCGGGACCGTGTCAGTTCGGTCAGGGTCGGCCGCCGCGCCGGCTGCCGAGACCTCGGCGGTATGCGGTACCTCATGAGACGTGACATTGTTCCGCACCGACCGGGCGTCACCAGACCGCTCTCAGTCGCTCATTGAGAGTCGACTGCTCGGTGCTCAAAGGGGAGCCTGTGATGTCCCGGCCTCTTGTCGAACCCTGCCCGGTGAGCGAGCAGATAAAAGGGACACTTGCTGATGCAATGCTTGTTCACGACCATGAAGGACAAGGGCATGACCTTCAAGAAAGAGTCGCGGGCGGTTCCTTGAGCAATTGAACATATAGTCGAACAGCATTGTCCGTGCACTAAAGAGACACTTTGAACGGCATGATCCTCCGATTTTGCACAAGATCAATTTAGTAGTGCCTTGCATGTCGCACCATTTATCGGTAAGCTAATCTATGCATCTTTTGACACAGGCAAATAAACTAAGTCTGACCGGAATTTCCTCACCAAGTTCTACACCTTGCTGTATGTGTAGCGTGCTCACTGCTCGGTCTGGGTCCGAGCGGATGTTTGCGGGAGTTACAAGATACGCCTCTCCCCCCCCCCCCTGCCTCGACCGGATGGACGGATGGACAGCTATGCGGCCTGCGGTGGACGGCTGTGGACCGGACGAATGTGAGCCAGCGCAGTGATGTGAGGCGAGGGGGGCCGGATGTTGGCCGATAGCCGCGGACGTTCAGAGGGCAGAGGCACGAACGCCTTTCCCGCCTCTTGCAGTTGATAGCCACTAGACAGCAAGGCTGTGTGTTATCCAAAGCAGCGAAACGACCAGCGAACCAACCGACTAAGCAATGCCACACTTGTTTCTGTCTTATGGATGTTTAAACACAGCAGATGTGTTACATGGTGACGGAGGCCAATGCGATGAGGCATAAGTACAGACATATAGGTACAACTATACCGAGTATGTTGAGGAGAAACGTTCACTTGCGAAAACTTCATCAGGGGTAACGTCTCATCAGTTCAGATTCGAAACAGCCGAGAAAAGCAATCTTGAGACATGATGTCCAATGCAGTGTGCAGTGAGTTATACGTTGGGAGCACCGAGCCAACCGGTGCTGTTTTGGACGGCCGGGCCTGCGGCCTGCCGCGGACGCTCGTCGCATGTCTGCCGATGTCGCCCCCGGCCTGCAATGTTGTCTCTTCACACCTGTTGTGCCGTCGGTCGCCAATCGGGGCGCGCGACGCAGCCGGGTCGCTATCTGACCCGGACCGGGCTGCGTACATACCACCGGCGCCAAAATATCGGCCCGGACAGCCCAGACCAGCGGCGACCACAGCCGAACCAGCTGCAGTCGCGCCTCGCTCACCGCACCGCGACGGGCCCGGCCGACCGATGTCACCGGAGCCACCTCTCCCCGCAGTTCCGATATGACGCTGCTGACGGATTCGTGCAGCCCGTCCGAGAACTGCTCGTGGACCTCGATGGACACACAGGTCCGGATCAACGTGATCAGCTACCGGTACTGCTACCCGACCATCTCGGCGGCCGGGATCGCGTGCAGCCTGGCGCTGCTGGTGACGCTGCGGCGCGCCTGCTTCCAGGCGGCCGACGTGTACACGTATCTGCGCTGCCTGATGGTGTCCGACTGCGCCGTGCTGGCCTTGAGCGGCGCCTCCATGCTGGCCGACTCGGCTCTGCCCACGGTGCTCTGCGGCGACCGCTCGTTCCTGGTGCGCTCGCACCTGTCGGCCGTTTGGCGCGTCGCCTTTCTGCCGCTGGTCAACTCGCTGATCGTGTTCAGCATGGGCGTCCAGCTGTGGATGACGCTGGACCGCTACCTGGCGGTGTGCGCGCCGCGGCGCCGGCCGGCCCGCCGCCGGCGCCGGCGCCTCCTGCTGCGCGTCGCCGCCACGCTGCTCGTGGCGCTGGCCATGCACGCGCCGCTGGTGCTGGGGTACCGGGTGGTGCGCCACTGCCCCGGCGGCCGCCAGTTCTTTGAGGTGGCGCTGAGCGGCGGCAGGGCGCAGCTGGGCCACGCGTGGACCGCCTACCAGTGGGCGCTGCAGCTGCTGGCGCGCTGGACGCCCACCGGACTCCTGCTCTACTGCAACGGCTACATCATCGCTGCCATCAGACGCCGGGAGAGGCGCATCAGCGCCACGCCGCGCCCCGCGTCTGACGAGCCGGGCCGGCCGGCCGCAGCACCGGGGCAGTCGGCGGCCAGTGAAGGCTGTCCGGGGGGAGATCCACAGCAGCAGCCGCGGCTGTCGATAATCAGCGACTCTTGCCAGGAGGGGACGACACAGCAGCAGCAGCAGCAGCCGAGACTTTCGGTGGTCAGTGACGGCTGCCAGGAAGGGATACCGCAACAGCAGCAACAGCAGCAGCCGCAGCAGCCTCGGCTGTCGGTGGTCAGTGACAGCTGCCTGGAGGGAGCGTCGCCGCAGCAGCAGCGGCGACGGAAGCGGCAGGAGGCCGGCCACCGGCTGGAATTGCTTCTCTGCGCCATGGGCCTGTCCTACCTCGTCGCCAACTGTCTTCAGATGGCCCTCTTCATCGCTCAATACGTGTACGACCAGAGAAACGACAGCGTCCAGGTATGTCACCCGCAAAAGACACGAGCACTGCACAATCGGGTCTAAATTCATACTTGCCGCGGCGATGGTCCACGGCAACTACCTCGTAAACCTAAATTGCTCATCTCTATACCTACCCCGAATTAAAATCGAACAGTGGGTATTTAATTCAATCCTAACGAACAATCTTATAGGGTTTTAACCAAATGCCAAAAAAGTAATAAGCAAATCAGTTAATATGTGCCGTGCGCACATACAAAAAGGTAATAGGATTAGGTATCAATGATTAAAAGTTCCCTTATTTGTAAATGGGTATCGTCCATTTTCGTTGAGCTAGGTCGAAAAAAGGTGAGATCACCGTAACTTACTATAACTACATAATAACTATATTATTATAACTAATTATAACTTTAATTTATTATTAATTAACTGATTTATCATTAATTATAACTACATAATTCTTCTGTGTTTCGTGATGTATGGTGTCATACTTCCTTAGCTTGACACATAGAGATTACATTCGATAGCTTATGACAGCGTTTCCGTAAAAAGGTAAATACCTAGTGCCTAAATCGAAACAAATCAGCTCAAATAAAAGCTGACTGAGATCCCACCACGGAGCTGGTCAGAACTTTCACTATCTGTGTCCTCAGATTTGATCTAAGGCCATAATCCATCAGCCTGAAGCACACGTCAAAGTCCATCGTGCATAAAAGGGTACATAGTACCACGTAAAAAGTTCGACGCATACGCATATTGCACGCATTGATATATTTTCATATCTTCGTTGCAGATCTTCCGAGCCGTCGCAAATAACTACGAGGCGCTAAATTTCATGCTGGATTCCGTCTTCGCGCTGGCGTTCCTGCCTCAGATTCGCCGCGAGTCTGTCCAGCAGCTGAAGACTTTATTCAAACGCTCCGGCAACTAAGCTAGCCGCAGTTACATCCAATAATCATCAGCATTATCACCATCAGCATAGGGACTATGAAAGCTGTTGTTTTCGCGTCATTCACCATTATACCGAGATTCCGAGAACGAATATGACTGTTCGTCTTCGTAATAGTACATGTCATGTGTGCGCTTTGAACGGCTTGGAATGAGTGTGTTGTGTAGGTACCTTAGTGTAAGGGATCGTGAAGTTGCAGTATCTGAGGTTTAAACGAGTCTTGTGTAGTTATTCAGAAACGAATTATTCGACACCAGTAATATGTATATGATCGGTAGCTTTCGGGGGCTGCTGCCTCCATCAGCCTGCTTTTTAAATGCATTAGAACACAAGACAATACGTTTCAAACATGTCTACCAAAAAGGAAACCGCCACGAGGAAAAGTTGTAACGGTACGTCTCAAGCATAGATGCACAACAGTTTGATACATGATAACAAATAATAACACATAATTAAGTCGCCATCGTCCGTAATATCCGTAATAAAACATTCGAAATTAATCGTGATCCGTGGTCGTAACAATCGAGTTCGCACAATCGGGGTCATGACACATTAATCGATGGTAATCGTTATAGGATCGTAATCGTTACATACTCGTAGGCGCACAAGCTTGCATAAATTCGCTGGCTGATAGCCACACGCCTATACAACAAAACAATTTTCAACAATCCAAAAGCAAGTGTACCTATTTTTGACAGCTCACTCAGCCTCATCGAAAAGCGCCTTACACACGTAGTGCCCGGTACATATCAGGCACCTCCCACCCGGGTAAGATGTTAATGCTATTGTGTCTTTCTACCCTGGAAATGTAAAAACCCTCCTTCACCTTTCGTTTACCCCAGTTCGTTTCATAATCCAAAATTTTAACTTCGTCCCATTTGATAGAGTGCCCTGTCTCTAGCATATGTTTAGATATCCCTGAGTGATCCCGGTTTCCGTTTGCTATAGCTCGTTTGTGTTCCGATTCCCTCGTCCTTAGCTTTCTCCCGGTTTCTCCTACATAAATTTTTCCGCACTGACACTTATACTGATAGACCAGCCCAGCCTTCTCCTTCACCCCCAACCTGTCCTTAGGTTTGACGAGTCTAGCACTAAGGTTGGCTGCAGGTCTCGTGCTGACCTTCGCGAGGGTCGAAGGACGCGCGTTACCTGTTCAGTCACCCCCTGGATGTAAGGGATACTTACATAAGCCCGGTTGTCATCTTCCGCTCCCCTAGCTGTCCGTCCGGAACCCTCCCCCTCCCCCATCCTAAGCCGTTCTTTATTCTTTACCCGCCTCTGAATACGTCGCACCAATCGCTTGGGGTAGTTGTTCTTCTCTAGTGCCCGTTCTATTTTCCCTGTCTCGCGTTCCTCGTCTTCAGGTGTTGTTGTGAGCCGTGATGCCCGTGTGAAAAGTGTCTGTGGGACTGATGCTTTGTGTTGTGTGCTGTGGTGTGACTCAAAGTGAAGGTACTTGTCTGTGTTTGTCGCTTTTCTGAACACTTTGGTAGACATGTTTGAAACGTATCGTCTTGTGTTCTAATGCATTTAAAAAGCAGGCTGGTGAAGGAGGCAGCAGCCCTCGAAAGCTACCGATCATATACATATTACTGGTGTCGAATAATTCGTTTCTGAATATTTACCATGTCCCGGTACAACAATTCCATATTTAAAAAGAGTCTTGTGTAGGTACGGTAGGTAGTAGGTAAGTACAATGCTTTTTTTCTGGAGACGTTGCGATAACTGTTAGGCCATGAACAGGCGGCGAGGATGAACAATCACTAAAAACTGGATTTTGATACCACAAAAAGGACCAAATTAAACATTGCTGAATATCTATTCTTCACCTTATGTACCTACTTGCATACTGTGTAGTGTGTATGTGAAAGCGACCTCTAAAGGCACACCAAACCCTATATCTGTGGTTTGCTTGTTTTGTCAACGCAGGCATGCACTGACATTGGACATTGACACTGCCCTTCCCCTCACATTGGACTATCGAGCCTATCGTGTTAGACGTTCAACATTCAGCACGGCCCGCTGATGAGATGCCGCTCCAGCCGCCGACGCCGAGGACTACAAAATCATCCCGAGACTTCGGGACTGAACCAAAAGCCACAGGGGCCGAGCCTCCCGAGGACTGCATCTGCATGAGAGTCGAGACTGTCCCAAGGACTGTAAACGGGAACCAGAAGTGGCTCCAGAAATACGGGACAGTTACCTACACTGCAGGGCTGGGGATGACGGGGATGTCCCGACTCCCCAGAACTATAGATAATTATACGGGACTGGCCCGAGTCCCGGGAATTGAAACTGGCCCAGCTTTCGAGAACGCTGACGCTGCCAACAGACTTCTCGCCGCCAGCTTCTGCAAACATATAACTGTATGTTTATATATGTTACTATCGTCATCGTCGGCTCGTGACATTGGATCGTAGCTTGGTCGCACGTATAGCGTACCGGAATGTTTTATACTGCACTTCTGTTCATTTAACAGTCAAAGATGATTGAGTGCGATAAGTGGTGTGGAGTGGAGTGGGTGGGTCAGTTGATACTTACCCTGTTGTCGCGATAGGTGGCGAACGATTGATGTTGCTAGGAGAGTGCGGTGGCCAGTGGGCGCTTGACTCTTGGCAGCCGTCTTATCAACAAACAAAACTGAAACCGAGTGAAGCAGTGAGTCCCGGTGAGCTGGCAGGGGTCCCGTACCCCCCCCCCCCCCCGTAGCGGGCCCGCCGGGATGTCCCGGCTGTCCCCGGCCCCAGCCGCTATCTAGCGGTGGTCTGAGTCACCCGGGACGTTTGCATCAACTCAGCGGGGCCGCGGACGACTCAGATAGCGCCCGCTTGTAGAGACGAGGGGCCGTGCCGTCAGGCTGCTCTCGACTCCAGTCGTCCCGCGGGTCCGTCGTCGGACCGACGCCGGCACGCTCCATCGGGATACCTCAGCGGCGCATAGCGACCATCATGCTTCCTCAGGTATGTTCGTATGCATTAAGACCAATACATTGGTATGTACGTTGAGTGAATAACAGGTCTTTGTGGACCTTTGAGAATTGAGCAAATCAGTGTGTGTTCGTCGAGGGTAAACGGTGGTTTATGCTAGTTTATTAGACGTCGAAACCTTTTTTCTATGGTGACTTGATAAGAAAGCGATTATAGAGGGTGGTGGGTTAGATAAATAAACACAGACGGGCACCGCTCTAAAAAGGAAGGACAGTAACTCAACTTATCGAGACGGTCATCTCTGGACTTGAACTAAGCCCTCGCCGGGACAGCTAACAGTCAGCAAACAACACTGAGACAGTGGGACGCCAACTTTAACCTCGCCAAACCATCGATGTAACCCTAACCCAAGCTGAAGGGACCGAGTTTAAAGGGACTGCTGGGGGTTTGTCTCATCAAGAGGAAGTAGCTCATTAAAAAAAAAACGAGGTCAAGGTCATAGGTCTAGGTCAAGGTCACTTTAAAAGTCGCCGTACCCTATAAAATCTTTATTTTTGGAGATATTGGAAAATTTCGGCCACCACTGTCTTCGTCTCATCAAGAAGCAGTAGCACCTTTTAAAAATCCGAGTTCAAGGTCATAGGTCAGGGTCAAGGTCACTTTAAACGCAAATATTTGGATTCAAATTCGAGTAATGATTTCGCTCAAAATTGGTATAAAGATAGCCCATGGCAGCTGAGTTCGAAAATGGTGATCTTTTTTCCTAGGTCAAACCGTTTGACCTTGAAAGGTCAAAACACTGCGTACCCTGTAGAATCTTTGTTTATGGTCCGATTTGAAAAAATTCGCCCACTAGTGTGTTCGTCTCATCGAGAGGAAGAAGAATATTTAAAAAAACTCCGAGGTCAAGGTCATAGGTCAAGGTCAAAGTCACTTTAAACGAAAATATTCGGGTTCAAATTCGCGTAATAATTTCGCGCAAAATTGGTATTGGTACAGATAGCCCATGGCAGCTGAGTTCGAAAATGGTGACCTTTTTTTCCTAGGTCAAACCGTTTGACCTTGAGAGGTCAAAACACTGCGTACCTATACCTACCCTGTAGAATCTGTGTTTATGGTCCGATTTGAAGGAAAAAAATTCGCCCACCACTCACCAGTATGTTCTTCTCATCAAGAGGAAGAAGCACATTAAAAACCCGAGTTGAAGGTAATAGGCGACCTATGATCTTGACCTCGGTTGATAAAGGTAAATAAAGGTGAATTATATGCTTCTCAAGATTGTAAGGAGTTGCTTAGGTATAATTAAATACACTGTAGTCGGGCCAGCCAAAACCGGATGACGTCCTTTTTAAATCAGATGGTTCGTAATGCGCCTTCCGAAATATTCAATTGTGCAGTTATTGCATTTATAACCACAGCCATCCACAGCACATATTCTGCTCGCAGGTCATGCCTATTGCCCGTTTTAACTAGGCATCTGGCGAATGCGTCTTATTTGACGAAATCTGCACCAAATCTCTTTTACAACAAATATCTTCATACCATGGATTTATTTCCAAATCTACACCAAATCTGCACCTTATCTACACCAAATGTGTATATACCTACAGATGGTCGTCGTAAAAACGACTATGATACAACCTATTATGGTCATAGGCCATATTGGTTATTGAACAAAAAGTAAATATATGTAAATTTGTTGTTAAAAAAGATAAAATGGCTGCTGCAGCCGAGGTCCGACCGTTGTTGACCCGCCCGACCTGTTTCAGCCGACAGCGGGAGAGGCGGCCGGGGCCGGCGGACGCGCCGTGCCCATCCTGGTACCGTCCGCGGAGGGTCGCCTGGAGCTGGACGAGGCCGCGCTGCGCTCCGTCCTGCTGCAGGACGACGTGCGCCACCTGCCCGTGGTGGTGGTGGCCGTGGCCGGCGCCTTCCGCAAGGGCAAGTCGTTCCTGCTCAGCCTGCTACTGCGGTACCTGGAGCGCGGCGGCGCGGCCGACTGGACGGGAGCGCCGGACGAGCCGCTCACGGGCTTCGCGTGGCGCAGCGGCCGCCAACGGCACACCGTCGGCATCCACATGTGGTCGCGGCCGACGCTCGTCCGGCTCCCCTCCGGCGAGCAGGTGGCCGTGGTGCTGATGGACACGCAGGGCGCCTTCGACGACCGCACGGCGGTGGCTGAGAACGCCACTGTGTTCGCGCTCAGCGCCCTCATGAGCTCGGTGCAGATCTATAACGTGTCGAGAGATATAGGCACCAGCGATCTGCAGCACCTGCAGCTGTTCTCTGAGTTCGGCAGTCTGACTGCCGCCGAGGGCCACGGCACCGCCTTCCAGCGACTGCTGTTCCTGGTGCGCGACTGGCAATCACCCTCCGAAGCGCCGTACGGCACCGTGGGAGGTCAAAAAGTGCTGCGCGAAGTGCTGGACAGCCCGCCGGGCACGCACGAGGAGCTGCGACAAATGCGCCAGCACGTGCGCCGGTGCTTCTCGGACATCGACTGCTATCTGCTTCCACACCCGGGCAAGATGGTGGCCACTAGCTCGGAGTTCACCGGCTGTCCCCGGGATATCGACGACGAGTTTCTCCTGTACGTAGAGAGGCTGGCGCGACTGCTCTTCAGGCCGGAACACTTGCTGGTAAAGAAGTCGGGAGGCGAGACGCTAACCGCGGCCGACCTCGTCACGCACTTTGTGACGCTGTACGGCGTGATGGCCAGCGGCGAGCTGCCTGAGCCGCGCAGCCTGGTAAACACCATGTCAGAGGCGCAGCACCGGACCTGCGTGGACCAGGCCAGCATTCTGTACGCCGAGCAGATGCGTCAGGTGTGCGACGCTGACACCAGCTCCCCCGGCGTTCCTGAGGAGGAGCTGCAACGCCATCACGAGACCGCGCTGCAAAGGGTCGTCGCAGAGTTCGAGCAGAAAAAGAAAATGCTTGGTAGCCAAGGGGCCCAATTCAAGCAGCAGATGTTTGACGCCGTTGAATCATGGCGGCACCAGTTTTTCCATGCCAACAAGACGAAGAACGATCTGACCGATGCGCGCGACAACCTCTGCTGCAACAAGGCACTGATGGACGCTCGCGATCAGCACCGTCAGATGCTGAGCGACCTGCTGAGTGGCGCGGCGGGAGAACTGGACGGGAACGAGCTGCAGGAGCGACACGCCCGCAGCCGCGACGACCTGCTGTGCCGGTTTGACGCTCGCACTGTGGACTGCATCCGCCGCCAACTGGTGGCCTCCTACCGCAACCAGCTAAAGACGCAGCTGGAGAACAGCTTCGAGGAGGCCGAGCTGTTCCTCGAGCAGCGCCGCAGCGGCCAGGCTGGCGCAGAGACCGACCGGCAGGCCATGAACCAGGCGCGCCAGCAGTACCGCGACATCATGGACGACTGCCTGAGGGGAGGTCCGCTGTCCGAGGGGGACTTCGCCTCCCAACAGCGCGCCGCCGAGGAGGAGGCTCGCCGACTGTTCAGTGCCAACCGCGGCCCAGCCCACGGCGGCGCGCAGCGCGTGGACCAGCTCTTCGACCGTGGCATCCAAGAGGAGTCGCAGAATGCAGCCGTTGCCAACTTTTTTACATCTGTATTGAACGCACTGATGCCTACTCTAGTGTCGTTGGCCACAAAGGCTGTGGCAAAGTGTGTTATTATGTAGGCGCAGTGCTGGCGGAATATTCTACTCGTAAGCAATGAGATTCATATGCGCCCTCGTGGGACATTGCTTTTTTCGACCAATTACACGTATAACATACCTACCGATGCCATTTGCTGCGTTGCGGTATTGGTGCATCGCTTAACAAGGGAGTGCCATATGTCTCTATATGCTGAAACTGGCACTCAAGGGACTTCCTGATGATGCTAAAGCATCCATGCCATAGGCACGAATAAATTTGCAACGAACTGATACACATGTGCCTATAATTTACGATCATATGCATGCTACATGTCTACTGGCTTCTACATTGGAGGCTTCATGATGATTTCACAAGCGGTTGTTATATTGTTATAGTCACTGATCATCCACAGACTTCTCTATAGGTATCCACAGAAGTCTGTGGATATAGTTCTTACCAGTAGGGCCTACCGCTGGTTGGTTCACTCCGAATAATGTAAAGCGTGAACTCACCTCAAGAAAGACTGTCCCAGGTGTCCATATGGTGTAGGTATGTATTAGCCATTTTCACGACGGCCATCTGGTACACATTTGGTGCAGATTAGGTGCAGATTTGGTCAAATTAGGTTAAGCGTATCTCTTAGTAGCTATGAGCTAGGGTTGCGCTAATTGTTTATATGCCTGCTGTCATATTATCAGAGAGTATCATCGATTAAAACACTGAAATGAATTCATAAAATGAAGATATTTGCTGTAAAAGAGATTAGGTGCAGATTTCGTCAAATTAGGTGCATTCGCCGGATAGCCCGTCGTGAAAACGGCTATTACGTAATGGGTAGGCCGTAGGTATAGAGACAGGGGACAGCTGATGGTTGATGGTGGTCACTCCAGCGGTCATATAACTACCTAATGCTAGCGTACGGGGTTCAACGCTCCGAAACCTGCAAGCTTTTAAAGGGACCCTCCCACCATCAAAAAAGTTAATGAATTGGCATGAAAGTGATGTCGCTCGGTTCAGAAAGAGCAAAAATGAATATCTACCAAATTTCATCGAAAAATATTCACCGGTTTTCAAGATATTAGACTTTTACTTTTGTTTACTTTTTGGGATCTCCGCTGTTTCTAGCGACTTTATTTGAAAGTGCGGCATTTGTTGCGCGCAAAGCAGCATATACCACCGCGTGCTGCCAAACGTTTTAGTCTAAGATTTAAAAATCGTTAGATCTCCGCTGACGTCACAAATTCTAAGGGGGCATACCAATGCATTAGCCCCTTAGAATCCGAAAACTGCAAGTTTGAAATTCCATATCTCCGAATTAAAGCATTTTTCGATGTTGTGAATGCCCAAACCGGTATTTTCAGGCCATGGCCACCAATTTGGCTATCTCAACTCAAAACTAATGTTAAGGTGGGAGTGTCCCTTTAAAGGGACCCTCCCACCTTCAAAAAAGTTAATGAATTGGTACGAAAGTGATGTCGCTCGGTTCAGAAAGAGCGAAAACGAATATCTACCAAATTTCATCGAAAAATATTCACCGGTTTTCAAGATATTAGACTTTTACTTTTGTTTACTTTTTGGGATCTCCGCTGTTCCTAGCGACTTTATTTGAAAGTGCGGCATTTGTTGCGCGCAAAGCGGCATATACCACCGCGTGCTACCAAACGTTTTAGTAAAAGATTTAAAAATCGTTAGATCTCCGCTGACGTCACAAATTCTAAGGGGGCATACCAATGCACTAGCCCCTTAGAATCCGAAAACTGCAAGTTTGAAATTCCATATCTCCGAATTAAAGCATTTGTCGATGTTGTGAGTGCCCAAACCGGTATTTGCAGGCCATGGCCACCAATTTGGCTATCTCAACTCAAAACTAATGTTAAGGTGGGAGTGTCCCTTTAACCCGCGTCCCGTAGGCCTATCGGCGGGCCCTACCACCCGTGGGGAGGGGGAGGGGGTCGGCCCCCCTTAGATCTCGGAAAGTTACCGGCCGATTTTCAAAATTCGAAAGGCGTTGGATAGCCTCAACAGGGAACTACCTTGTGAGCCAATTTCATTGACCTTGGTCTTTCCGATTACGTCACAGGTCAGACCAAAGGTCGAATTTTCACCGTTTCCAGGCATTTCAAGAAATGCGTTGTAAAATCAAGTAAAAAGGCATGTTATTGAAAATCATCGATGGGGAATAGTTTGTCAAACACATATTTTGCTATTTCAGGTCACTAATACCAGGTCAGGTCACAGAGGCCAGGTCACTGGGGGTCACAACACGAAGCGTCATTTGATGCATGTTTTATGGTCCATTTTACATAACAAATGCGATTATGTGGGCCAGGCAGCCTTTGGGGCCAGTTTAGGTTATGTTCTGGTGAACGTCAGTCGTTAGGTCAAGGTCAGGTCAAGTTTGGTTAAATTTCGAACTTGATATTTTTGCATAAAATGGGTATCGATTCGATGCAGCTCGTCACGGGGAGTCTAATGGTGGTCTTTGTTTTACGCTACGTGGTCTAAGTCAAACATCCTGCCGGAGCGGCGCGGCCGGCGCAGGCCATTGCTCGCCGCCTGAATGGTAGACTGTGCCGGCGCGGAACGGTTCCATCTCTGCACTGCGCTTCCTACAGCTGATTATGATCGATTCCCGTCAAATCTCGTGTGAATACTTAAAAATGTACAGGCAATCTTATGGTCAAATAAATACGAAAATCGACTGGTAAAAAAATTGAATTACCTATTAGGGTGCAAACACAATATTATGATTGAAACGTTTCCCGCGTCGGCCGATCTCCGCCTCTGCCGGCGACATTTTACTCTTAGCAGGCCACTAACTGCCAAATTTATGGTTAGATTAACTAGAGATTCTTATAACATACTAAAAATGTCGTATAAAGGAAGAAATAGGAAAATTGGCCGGTAACTCTTAGAGCAAACGCAAAATAGTCACTATAGCAAATTTGATCACATTTAACCTCATTCGAACTTATAGATATTGATCTAAGGGTCATGAAATTGGCACACGATAAAGTTCCCCACCGCCCCACCTACAATTCAAATTCCGTTTCTTCAAATACCTATTTTGGCCAAACCGGCCCTTTCTCCCATAGCGCTGGGAGAGCTTAGAGCAATATTGGTGTCACCAAAGGTCATCAAAGGTCAAAATTTGCCAATGGTCATTATATTTTTCAGAAAACATGCCGTTATCTCAGGAACTATGGAAGCTAGAAAAAACGCATGGAAAAGCAATCGATAGCTTTGTAACTCTTCTTTTGATAAAGTTTTCATCAAAATTGACCTCAGGTCAACGGTTTAGCCTCCAGAGGGCAAACACTCTGAATATAGCTCTTTTTACGAAGTGTTTTTCGACAATAACTTTCGACTACAAAAAACCACGACATTTCTATTGCCAGAATCGTGTTCCTCTCGCCGAGGCGCGTCGAATGAACTATAATTTGACCTTGAAAGGTCAACTTGAAAATTTGACCTCAGGTCAAGGTCATGACCTGACCGGAAAAGGTCATGTTGCATATCAGTCGATGCGTCTCAACAAGACAAACACAATGAGACCATCCCCAGCGTTCTATCTCTTTCCAATCGCGAGTTATTGGCAAAAATCTGTTTGTAGCCTCAAATGACCTCGGATGACCTTTCTAGAGGCTATCAGCAAAAGTGACACCTTAGTCATCACGGGTGGTCCAAATCATTGTGATTCTGAAATATTTCGACTGTTCCTATGCGTACACACGGATCTAGAGGCATTTTCATTTTTCTCCATTGACTTGTAATGGAAAGGTCACGCCACTGACCTGACCTTAGGTCACGGATATAAAAAAATCCGAGATATACAAGTTGTAGGCGCCCATAGCATCATGCTATCCACCAAGTCTAAACCTTTCTGACAAACACTGCAGGCTGGACATGATTGCAAACTTTTTTAGGCTTGGTCAGCTAACTTTTTTTTATTTAGTCGGACCTCTCTCCAACGGGCTCTTGTCCCAATTATAGGAGAGAGCTCCTCCCGCCGTCCTATTCCCCACCCCCCAGGCTACGGCTGAAGTGGGAGCCTACCCCACACCTGGTGACGCAGCCGGGGACGACGCCCGCGGAACGGGCGGAACCGGGAATCGAACCCGAAACCCGGCACCGCCCGCACCGCGGGTCGACGCCTTAACCGACTGCGCCACCAGGGCCACTTGTGGCCCAACTTGACCTGGTGACCTGACCTGACATGACCTGGGGTAAAAAATTTCACACATTGTCCAAAATTGATGTACCAAAAGCTACCACAAGCGGTGCGGCGCTACGCGCCGCGGTTTTTTATTCACACGCAAAAAACGCGACAGGGTGGTAACATATGCCCCCCCCCCACTGGGGCGAACGATATAATTTTGCAAGATATGTTTGCATTTTAACGCCACTAGACCTCATTACTTCTTAACAAGTAAAAAAAAAATCACCCTGTAGATCCAGGACTTGGGTCGCGACTTCCGGGTGAAATTTAGAGGGAAGAAAAAGTTCGCTCACCGAAAGTTGTTGCCCCGACGACACCGTACAGGCCAATGCCCCGAGAGACGGGCCCGCAAGTCTCAGGTACCGCCGCCTTTCACCCGGCGGGCATGCCTTTCCCGCCGGAGGCAGTGATACGGATGACCGGGCTTGCATACACTGTGGTAGTCTCCGTCACGCCTCTCCACACACATATATCGCGATCAATTTTTCCTCTTACAATATGTCATTAAAGGTCCATGTCAGCTTATTCGGTACTCGATTGTAATGCTGTAAACCAAATACTAATGAAGTTTCAAGTTGATAATGACCTTATCAAAAGAAGAGTTCAAACGCTATCGATTGCTTTTCCATGCGTTTTTCTAGCTATCATAGTTCCTGAGATAAATGCATGTTTTCTGAGAAATATAATGACTTTTGGCAAATTTTGACCTTTGATGACCTCCAGTGACCCCAATATTGCTCTAAGATGAAAAATGACCAAATACTTTCAAACCTACGCATTGAGAGCTATCGACTGCTTTTTACCGCGTCTTTCTAGCCCTCTTAGTTTTTGAGTTAGAGGTGGGTGGTAACATATGCCCCCCCCCCCCCACTAGGGCGAAGTTGGCTGAGACCGCCACTGGGGCGCGGGTTAAGGTAGCTAATGTCGCCATACGCCGGAGCAAAAAAGCCGGAAAATGGAAATCATAAATTTTTAATGAATATTTTTTGCTGGGCCAAAGTTGCCATGCTAGCATACAACATTGGCCACTTGAATTTTCGAGAAAAAAGGTACTAGGTAGGCATACACTATAC